ATGAGCTTATTTCTGCTGAATACTGGAGATAAGAAAGTGAATAAGGCATGGTCCCTGCTATCAATCAGCTTATGAGTTAATGAGAGGAGAAAATATAAACTAAATACATACGGAATTTACTATGTTGTGGCATTAATGTGCATGTTTGTGACAGGAACACAGACGAGTTGTGTGTAAACAACTGGGGGAGGACAGGTAGATGACTTCCTGGAGGAAGTGGCACTAGAGTAGGGCTTCCAAAGATGTTCAAATAGTCAACATATATATTTTAGCATTATCTTAATTATATTAGCATTATATTAGCATTGAGCATTATTTTGTCAAGAATCAGAGTGTTTGGCTGGAATCTGCTAAGCTTAGGTCACCCCGACTTCAAACAGGGAGGGGACATTTTGGCTTCTGTAGTGGGAGGTGGAACTTACCCCAAGGTTCACACTGCGAGCTCAGAGTTCCCTAGCACTCAAAGTATCTAATTAGAGGTGATTGAATTTCAGGAATATGATAGGTAGTAGTTGGAAGTTGGGCCACCTGATTTCTAAATTATTTTCCAGTTCTGGAGTGTTATGAAAATAATGTGCTAATGCCTTTAAAAGGTTCCCTTAAATACTGGCTTATGGGCCTGTAGACAGAGTGTGCATCCGCCTTCTTAACCCATAAGCCAGCTGTATTGAAGTTTCCATTCCTGAAAGAGGTGGAACATTTTCACGGCCTGTCCCTGTGCTTCTCCTTTGCCAAGTTAGGGTCCTCTTTCTCCCCAGCACCTGCAGGTTGACATCCTCCTCATTTTTCCCCAGTTGAGCTCACATGTCTCTTTCTCCTTGTCATTCAGGTCTGTAGTAGATTACTCCTGAGCTTCCAAAGCTTTGTGTCCCTGCGGTAGAGCACTTACTCTGCAGTGGAATTTGGGTACCTGTGTGCACGTTGGCTTCCAGAACCAAATCATAATATCCTAAGGCCAAGGATGGTGGTACTCATTTCTCGGTATTTATAGCTCCTAGCACAGTGCCCTATTGAACTCAGTTGTCACTTTAAAAGGTTAAGCACACATTCTGCATTTTGGTTCACACTGATAGTATTTCAGGTATTTCTAAATAAGCATTACAAAGTTAAAGTTTACACAACGTTAGATAAAGTTACTCATTACAAATTCCACTTTGAGAGAGTCTAAATGAGATAGACATTGGTGTATTTCTTATATTATTTGTGTTCTACAGTAGGTGGTTTGATCCAGGGATTGGAATTTGGGTTTGATGCCCAGGAAGACCATACCATGTAGGGAGAGGGTGGGAATCTTGGAAACCTTCCCCCTCCCGCTGCTTCCCTGCCCCTATCTTGGGTTTCAAATAATGGTTCCTTGGGAGAGTGAGGAGGTGTATTCCAGTGTATGCTGTCGGTTTAGTGGTGGAGATCCCTCTTTCCTTTTTAAAAACACGTATGTCGCATGCAGGTTTTCTGAGAGGAGGCTCCCCTGACCTGTCTGTGCTTCACGCCGGTGTCAGGTTCCTGGGCTGTGAAGTGGCTAACCCAGACGTGCTAGCTGGGTTTCACAGGGCTTGTGAACAGGCTACTAGCCCTTATTTTTCAGCTTCTAGTCATGGGTTTTCCAGGCCCCTCCTGAACACTGGTTCTAGGGCACATGTCTCCCGGAGCAGAGTAATCCTCTCTCTGGAAAAACCTCGAGTTCTGCCAGAATAGGAAGGCTTGGTCGCTTACATTTAACTTTGGGACCGCTGACACACTCAGTAAATCCCTCAGGTCTCTGAAAGGGAATATCTCTGTGGTTTGAATTTCTGTTATAGGAAGTTATTCTAACCTAAACAGTGAAATTGTTTTTAAATGCTGTGGGAGGTTTTGGATTCCACGGAGCTGGCAGTTTTGCATTGTGGCAAATGACGCCTGGGCATCGCCTTGCAGGTGGTGGGGGATTGGAGGATGGGGTCTTGGCCTGCGTATCAGGAAGCACCCGCTGTCTGCTGCAAAGAGAGGAGCAGTTGCTCCTCCACCTTAGGGAAGTGGAAGGTGCAGCAAATCACTGGGAACTCAGACTGACTGGGAGCAATCTTTGTCCTTTCCTTTAAGCTCTTAACTTGGTAATGAGACCACCCCAGAGGCTAACTCCTCATCCTTCATCAGTCAGCAAGTAGTAAGAGAGTGTATCCCTTCTGTACTGCTTGCAGGAAGGAGTGAGTCCATGTCTGGTGCCTGCCCTCCAGCTTCTGCAGGACAGGGGCACTGGCCACTATTAAACGGCTGCTGCAGAGTTCTACGCAGTTGACGGCCAGGAGCTAAGCTGTGTAGTTCCCATCACAGTTGCTGTGGTAGTTGAGAGAAGGAAGGCCATTGTAGGGGGAGGTGTTCTCGAGGTCGTCACTGCAGAGGTCAGTTTATCGGGTGAACTTTCTATTGGGGAGAGGCGTGTGAAGCTAGAGGATGGCACTCCCAGTCGGGATGGGGAAAATGAGGGTGACGTGGTCATGGGACCCTGGGATGCTGAGGGCCAGCAAGACTGTTAACAGCTAAAGGAGCCTGATTGTAGAGAGCCTCGGAAACCCAACCAGATTTGAACTCAAAGCTATGACTCCAGTGGTTCTGTGCAGGGGAGTGGCACGCTGGAAGTGGAGTTGTAAGGACAGGCGATTTCCCAGCTGTGTGAGTGTGGGATGACCGTGGGCTGACAGTTTGAATGCCCTCGAGTGTTTAAACCTAAAGGACACTTCTGAGCCTGTTGTGTGGCCCGTTGACAGACCCAGGGTCTGATCTTAGGGAAGTATGAGTGAAGGTGAAGGTGAGGTAGATGAGCGGGTCACGAGGGCTCTCCTGGTGCCTCTTGCTTCCCCAGAAAACTCACTTTATTTTATCCTAATTCATTTTTCCTTCAACAATGAGGCCCTTTGTAATCACTACTATTGAGTAAGGGGAAAAAGTCTTGCTCAGGGTCACATTACCTAAAGGCCTCTGGACAGTTACAAAGAAAGTAACAGCATAAAACCATAATGGGAAGGAAGTTTTCAGTTCTTTAGAAGCAAGCCAAAAGCAGTCACGCTCATAGAGAAGCAAAGGATTCTTCTTGTTGACAAATGACACACAGATTTGTAAAGAGAAAGGAACCATTCTTGGTGAAATGGATCATGGTCAATATAAGGCAGAAATGTTGAACGCTCAGGCTAGAATTTCAGAATTTCACCCTTTGTTGAGGGCAGTGCAGATCTCTAGCTCTCCTTTAGCCTGGGAGCCATCGGGGCTGCACCCCTGCCTCTGCAGAGAGAGGCCCTGCAGAGAGCTGACTCCTTTACGTTGTGTGCTTGTTTTCCACTGCTTCTTGCCCCTTTTCCTGTGCACACTAAAGCTGTATGAGGGATTATCCTTAGACAAGGTATTGGTTTGAAAGAAGTAAGTGACTGCAAGTTACTAAATCAAGAGGACCTTACATGGAAGTCATCTTTATGAAGCCCCTAAAGGCAACTGCATGTGCGTATTACACACTGTGGAGCCAGCAGAATCCTTGATTGGCAGTGGACCTCCCCTAAAAACCAGCACCATGATTTAGCCCCTGGGCCTGAGCTGAGCCTTGAAGGGGCTTCCTGGGTGGGAGTGCAATCTAGATGCGTGCAGAATGGCTACCAAAGAACACAGCCTTTCCCCCTCCGTGTCATAGGTTTTCTTCCAGTTTCTCAGTTCTGTTATCCTTGACCCTGTTGGTTAGATCATGTACCCTGCATTTTGCATAAGAAAATAGACTGAGTCTGTGCTGTAGGAGTTCCTAGTGAAGATTCTGAACTGGATTACAGAGGAAGGGTTGTGTGCTGTTACAGGCATTGGAACTGTGATTTTAGACTGATCTTCGTATGTCATTCATACTCAGCTTACATTCATCTTTTAGGTGAGAGTCACAACTACATTATTTAACTGTGTAAGATAAATATTCTAGCTGTCATTTTTTTCCCCCTCTCTAGTCCAGACATGCCTATGATATGTGTTAGCACATGTGCAAATACTACTTCATGTGCTGAGGAAAAGAAACTCAGGAAACAGATGAGTCAATTCCCATCTTAAGGACTCTCAGAAGAACTAAGTAGTTACTACTAGCCTTGGCCTTGTGGAAAATAGGTAGATTAAAAAACCTAGCAAGAAATTTCAAATGATCAGTTTGAAGCAATTGTTGAAAAACATCATTTTATTCTAATGGAATTATCTTTGGGGCAAGGATTTTAGTAA